CGCAAGAGAAGGTTTTCAACGAACGTATCGTGAGGAAATGAAATAGAGCTCCGGCAAGTTCACGCGCACACGCACCACAACGGCTGAAAATAGAAGTGCGGAGGGCAAGCGCTGGCGGGGGTCACGGGAGAGCTGGTGCTCGAGCACCGTGGCCGGAGACGCGCCGTGAACCGCCACTGTGCACAGCGCTGACGCCGTTTCTGGTCAGATCGGTCACCCGCAGCTCAGCTCTGAGTGTCTGCTCCCTGACACGTGCAGACGGGTGCCCACGTCTTGCACACGCATGCGTGCACGCACACAAACCCAGGTTTATGCTGGAAGAAGGGAGCAAAGAGGACGTGAAAACACAAAGCAGTCATCCAGGAGGCTGGTGGACGTTCACGGGAAACCGTAAGTTCATCTCCCAGTCAGGAAAGGAAGCAGAAACGGACAGCCCAGAGCAAAGGCTCACACGTGCCGACTCGATAAAGACTCTAAAAAACGAAACGAGACGAGAAAAGCTTTGAAGCAACAGATGCACGCGCTACACAAGGGAGCACCACAGACACAGCACGCATGAGGAGAACCGAGTCCAGAAATCAAGACCATGCACAGACTGATGCCGCCTACGAGACACTAGGAGAGAATGACGCTCTCGTGTAAAGCCTGTGCCCTCGAGGACGGGCTCTGGGCCATGCGAGGGGACACACGACCCTGGGTTCCCACATGGTCCAGAGGAGGCAGCGAGGGGCGTGACGACGGAAGGAGGACACTTGTCAAGGCGGAGACCCGCGAACCCCAAACGGGGCAAGACCCACCACACAAGGGGGGACCACGCGCACGTCTCGCTGAACCGCCGTCGCTGAAGCGCCCCAGACAAAACGTCTTCAAGTCAGGAGACACGCACACCAGCTGGGCCCCGCAACGCCACTTCCTGCGCATCCGATGTCAGGCGTCAGACATCCGCCACCCGAGCCTGGTGACAACACGCGTCTGCAGCCTGGCCTGCTCACCCCTGCTTGTCCCAAGCACACGGACGACGTGAAATGACGCGCACACGTGGTGCCCATCACAGGCTCACCGCAATGGCCAGCGGCCCCTGTGTGTGTCCCTGCGACGAGGGGGCCGGTGAATGCAGACGGTGGCTTGTGCCCGCGGCTGAGTGCTATGCGTGTGCAGGAAGAAGGGGCACAGTCCTGGCGGGGCACCAAGTCCAGGGCATCGCGCCAGGCCCCCCTGCTTCCCGCGGGGGCTCCGGGGACGACGTGAAGGTCTGCTTCTTACCACCGACACCGACTTCTTCACCAGCCAGCGGGCCGAGAGAGCTCAGCTCGTGTCAAGCCCAGCGACTCACACACACGATCACACAGGCTCCTGCCGCAGCCACGGATCGGGCGGCTTGTTCGCCAAGTTCCGGAAGGAAGGGGACGGGGCGTGCGGGGCTTGGGCGGGACGGGACGGACCCCGGCAGAGACGCTGACCGCAGGCGCCCGGCCACTGCCGCGGGGCGAGGAGCCCTGGCGTGCAGCCGGGGAGCTCGGCGAGGGCCAGCGATCGACACAGGCGAGCCTGCGCCGGGAAACTCGGGACGCGTCCCAGAGACCGACTCCGCGCGAAGGGAAGTCTCAGAGGTTTCACGGCGCGGGAAGCGCAAAGCTTCGATGTTGGAAGCAGAGTGGAGTCAGGCGGGACAACGGGCCGAGGCAGAGACGAGGCGCTCACTCTGCACCACACGCCACGTGACACGGGGACGCGCCGTGCTCGAGGGCGCTCGTTAGGGTTTTGCCAGCTAATTAAACACTTCGGCGTTCACAGAGTTTCTAACGTGTTCAGTCCCGGGACACGGACTATTGGTCTCGCGATCGTCTCCGTTTCCCAACACGCTTACGGCGCCCCGTAAGCGAGGTTTCCACGCCTTGACAGACAGGTCTTAACGGTCCCAGTGTCACTTCCGCCGGACGGCACTGCCTGGCTTCGGCTCGCACGGTCGGGGATGTCCGTGGTCCCACGCTACAGGCAGAGCGAGAACCGCCTGGACGGACGAGCCGCGAGCGCCAACACAACGTTCGGCGAGGAAACACCCTCGTGCACAACACCGTGCTGTGTACCTGAGAAAGGTATGAAATTAGACACGTGTGAACTTTCTCACGTACGTACGTCTTTCACAGCACGCGCGTCTAGGCGTAGAGATGTGCCGAACATTGGAACACGAAACAAGCAGCAGGTAAACCAACGCCGTGAACACTGCTCGTGCTGGGTGCAGGAAGACCACAGAGGTGAAGACGCATGGACAGAACCTGTACCTCCCTGAATACGTCTGGCTCTTGGGTCTGGACCTCAGAAGCACATGCTTTTACCAATGTTTTAAGGAGCCAATCGCCTCAGGTCATGACCTCGCACTCTCGAGAGTTCAAGTCCCATGCCGGGTCCCGTGCTGACAGTGTGGAGCCTGCTCGGGATTCTCTCTCTCTCTACCCCTCCCCGACTCACGTTCTGTCTCTCTCAAAGTAAACTTAAAAAAAAAATTTAGTTTAAAAAATATAAAAAGCCAATCCCCAACTGATCCTCTAACACAAGTGTAACCCGAACGTCGAAACCACACAAAGGAATCACGAGAAAAGTACAAACAGGACCACCTATGAATATAAATACACCAAAATCAACAAGAAAATACGAGCAAACAGAATCCAGCAACGTATAAAGAGGACTATGCACCCAGACCGAGTGGGAAGCACCCCAGGAATGCAAGGTGGGTTTAACCATGGAAAAATCAGCTCACGGAATACACGGTCTCAGCACAAAAACCGTCTTAGCAGATTCAGAAAATGCATGTGAGGAATTCAACATCCTTTCCAAATAAACACCACACGCCAGGGGTGGCAACAAACATCCTCAGCCTGACAGCGGTACCTGTGAGAACCCCTCAGCCTGACAGCGGTACCTGTGAGAACCCCGTGACCAAAGTCGGGCCTGATGCTGCTGGAAGAGCGGATATTTGCCCCTCTAGCCCACGATTCCGCTGGTCTCTGGTGCCACACGGGACGCACTCGCACAGCCGTCGGACACGGTGAAGAAGCGGGCCACATCCACACCGGGAAGGAAGAAGTCAAACTACTTGTACGTGTGAAGGACGCGATCGTGCGTATGTGAAACCCTGGTGACTATGCCAAAGCAGCACTGGAACTAATCCGTGAGTCTATGAGGGTGTGGGACACAAGATCGATGCACAGTAATCAACTCCATTTCTACACACTTGCAACGAACAACGTGAACACTTAGGAAACAATTCCAGTCATACAAGTATCAAAAACAGTAATGTGCTCCAGAAGAAATGTAACAACAGATGTGCAAGGGACACTTGAAAACCACCAAACGTTTCTAAAAAAAGGTAAAGATGTAAATGAACAGAGAGACAACCTCTGTTCGTAGACCGGAGCGCCAACACTTCCCGAGACGACGTACAGATTCCCAGTGACCGTCGTCAGATGCCTGCTGGCATCTTTGTAGAAACCGAGAGGCCGGTCCTGAAATTCACACAGAGCCTCGCGCCGCCTGAAACATCTTGAACGCGAAGACTCGGATGTGCTATGCGGCCCTGTTCAGAAACCTACTACAAAGCAACTAATCTAAGACAGTGTGGTTCCGGCACGAAAACAGAAACACAGGGCCACGGGACAGGATCAGCGCCCGCTAATCAACCCGCATGTGACGATGCACTGATTTCCAATGAGGGAGACGAGACCAGTCAACGGGAAGGAAGGGTCTCCTCCAGCAGTGGCGAGGGGACCCCTGGATTTGGACACACACAGAGATGACGTTTGTGGGTGCCCGGCTGGCTCAGTCGGTGCACTGTGGAACTCTTGATCTCGGGGTCGTGCATTCGAGCCCCACACCGGGGGTAGATGTTACTTAGAAATAAAATTTAAAAAAACAAAAAAAGATGAAGTTGTGCCCCAATATCACTGTATACAAAACTCAAGATACACGCATAAGTAAAACTGTAACACTCATACGAATATAAACAAAAAACCTTCACGACTGAGATTTGGCAATAAATTCTTGGCTAGGACCCAAAAAGCACGACCAATGAAGGAAAAAGTACATAAAATGAAGTTCATCAACAAGAAAGGCTTTCTGTGTGGCACAGGACATGACCTAGGAGGGGAATATGCAGCGAGGGAACAGGAGGAAACACGTTTACACCACGTAAGTGATGAGGGACGCGTGTCTGGACACAGAGGCTCTTAATATTCACGCTGAAACGACAACCACTTGAGACACGGGGCAAAGGCCGTAGACACGCGTGGGTCCAGAGGTGTGCATACGGCCAACACACGCGTGAAACAGGGTCGCGGTCGACAGCCCTCGGGGAAAAGTGCGAGCCAGACCCACAACGAGGCCCCAGCACACGCACGTCTGCCATCAGAGAGACGGCTCACGCTGGCACAGGAGCAGCGGCACGGGAACCGCACACACCGCTGGGTGCCATGAAACCGTGCAGGCGGTCCGGGAGAGGTTTCGTGGCTCCACAAGCATCGGGCGGCGTTCCCACGTGACCCCAGCCACGCAAGTCCGGGAGAGAGGTGTAGGGTGTGCGGCGACCCTGGACCCGGCCGGGTCACATCTGCACGCATCAACACTCCTGGAACGCACCGTGTGCGGACACACGGGGCCGCGGAAGCGCACACAAGGCGGCGGCAGCTCGGCCGAGCCACCACCTCACTCCACGGGGTGCAAGCGTGGACCGTGGGCCGGTGCCACCCGCTCACAGGAACGGCACCCTGGACAGGGAGAGACACGGGGTCGGAGGGGCCGGGGAAGGCGTGCGCAGGGCCTCTAGGTGCCGGGTCCCTAAGACGTGCACACGTTCACACCCGCTGACCCCGGGAGGGCATCCACACACACCTGGGTTCTCCCGCGTCCGGGACTACCGTTCCGACGACGCGCGTAAGCAGGACCCTGAGCCGCGAGCCTGCGGAGGGGCTGAGGAACGTGTGCCGCTCTCACGCAGGGGCACCCACCTTGGCCACGCGGCCCATGTCCTCCACGGTGGCCCTCTCGTGCGGGAACTGGGCGAAAGTCCGCTCAATCTTGGCGATGACCGCGTCTACGTTCACGGTGTCCCGGGGACGGCCGCGAGGGAAGTAGAACGCGGGGATGCTTTCGCTGCTGGCGGGCGGCAGGGGCTCCTCCTTCTTCGTCTGAACCTGAGACAAAGCAGACGGCAAGCCCGTGAGGACTGGGAAACGTGCGTGGCCTCAGCTAACGTGACGAGCGGAGCCAGTGGCTCTAACGAAGTGCACCGAGCACCACAGACCCGACGTGCACAGACGACCGCACACGCTCCCTGTGGGTCACACAACACCCCGGACCCGACGTGCACACAAGGACGGCACACACTCCTGAGGGTCACACAGACCTGGATTCAACGTGCACACAGGACGGCACACACTCCTGAGGGTCACACAGACCTGGATTCAATGTGCACACAGGACCGCACGCGTTTCCTGTGGGTCACACAACACCCCGGACCCGACGTGCACACAGGACGGCACACGCTCCCAGGGGGTCACACAGCCCCAGACCTGACATGCACACAGGATGGCACACACTCCTGGGGGTCACACAGACCTGGACCTGACGTGCACACGGGACCGCATGC